TTTTGAAGTGTGCCACTTTGCATTCAAGTTGAGAATATAGTGTTGTCAGTGCCAGTTGGATGATGATTAGAGCTCAGAAAGTGACTAGTGATTTAGAAACTAAGTTCAAATATTTTTTCAATGGAACATTATTTTCTGAACAAAATTGGATAGTTCCTGATAAATCTAATTTTAAATATGCTACTTTTCTAAGATTTGATTCCTCAGGAACAATTCAACTGATTTCACTCAAATTTTGTAATTTGCCATTTAAAATTAGATACTTTAAAATGATGTAAAAAATTCTATACCTTACAATACAAAATTTTTTCGACTATTATTAAATAAAATAACAAAAAAAAATATTTACTAAAATTTAATTTCCGTATAGAACTATCTTTGGACAAGCTAATTTAGTTGTGCGCAATTTTTTTTTTTTTAATTCTCTTCAAAAGTTCGCGAGCTATGGCGAAATACGCAAAAAGAAAAATTAATCTTAAGGGGTCCAAACTTTGGATCTCTCTCTCCTAACCAAACTATGGGAAGCATGTTACCCAGATTGCGGCAAGCCCCTGTATTTCGGGGGTCAGAAATCCGAATTCGTTGATAAAAAGGTATGCTTGTTCAGAGAAAGTACGTTTTTGTGTCGGATTTCGTAACTTGAACTATCGTCTGCACTTATTCATTAGCATATTTGAGGTCAACCCCTCAAACCATTAAGATTGAGTTCTAGAACGTGAAGAACCGATCATTAGATCAAAAGTTATTCAGGTCGTCCGCTTTTTTTTCCACACTGTATGATGTATGTATGTTCAATTATAACATACATTGGGCATATATATATATTGTACACATGGACATTATATTGTACTACATATATGCATTCTTACTTCGGACACACATGTATTATGCATATGTATATAGATATGCTTGTCCAATGTAATGCAATTTGTATTCATACTTACATACTTATATGTAAATATGAACAAAATACATCATTTTACAATACATTATACAATCTGTATTGTATAATACACTGGTTATCATCAATTAAGGAAAAATTACAGAAATAGCGGTATTTCTCCCAAAAATAAGCCAATCCTAATTGTCAAATAAGAGTTGCTAAGTAAAACTGTACTATTGAAATTAGTTGCGCTGCAGTAGAATAAATTCAAAAGCAATGAGCATAATATTGTATGTTTGATCGCAACCCTGCGAATTTTTATGTGTTTGCGAATTTGGAAATTTGAGATAGCCAATTTGTAACAATTTGACCTCCGGGCATCATTTGTCCGAAGAACTGAGATGGAGATCTAATGGAAGAATAAAGGCAGGACAAAGTCAGATAGAAGGGGCTAGGAAGCGAGATGAGAATCCTTCTGTGGTTCATAGACTTTGGCAACAATTTCTAACTACAAGTTTGGCATCTAAAAAAGTTCAGTTATGGACGGCTAAATACTAAGACGAGGGCCAATGAATGATATTTATCATTATGTGCAAGAAGGAATAGAGCCGCAACTTGCAGTCAGCTCAGATTCAATCTAACTTCAGCCGTCACCGGAAGATTGGTGTCAACGTCTACTGTGTGTAGAAGGCTTCATAAACGTGGTTTGTTTGCTAAGATATCAGCCTTTTGCGACCAGTCACGCCATAGAAGGGAACGTTTGAGGTGGGCGTAGCAACATGTCCACTACACTGCTGACTAAAGGAAGGCTGTTCTCTTCAAAGATGAGTCCAGATTTAGTTTAAAAAGCGATAGTAGGCGTTGTTTGATTTGGAGAGAACCTGGATCCTCATATTACCCGTCAAACATTCGTGAAAGTGATGCATACAAAGGAGGCAGTGTATGTGTGCGTTATGTTATCGCTCTAGGTGGCCACAATCTCTCTAGGTAGTATGCTGGAGGAATAGATGACGATTTCGTGTTACAGGATGAAAACACAACGTCATACATGGTTCACACCACATCTCCAGCATCAAACGTTTCAGTGCAGGGAGAGACCAGCCCGATCATGGGACTTCAGTATTTATCGAGCTAGCTTGGGATGCTTTAGTAAGACGTGTAGCTATTAATTCTTCTCTTTAGATACTTGCCACTGTTTCGCAAGAACAATGGCTGGCACTTCCAATGCAACTGGTAGATCGCTAAATTGAAAACATCACGCATCGCTGTATGTTCAGTGTTGCTTGCCAGAGGTGATCCTACTCCATATTGAAAGTACTTCTTCTTTTTCAAACTGAGACATCTGATTTATTCATTTCATACTTATACTAATTTTTGTAACACCATAATTGTCCAGTTACTTTTTATGTTATTTTATACTTTATTATGAGCCCCATAATGTGTGTCAGTTTCATTAAAGTCTATGTTTAACTTTTTGAGTTATGGTCATTTTTGTGATTTTTCCTTAATTTGTGATAACCAGTGTATAAAATCGTCTTTGTTTGTAATAGTATAGTCTGATTACTTGCAATCACGATTACAGAGTACAGCATTAATCAAAATTATGCGAAGTTGTAACCATGATTACAAGTAATTAATTACTGTAGTTGATTATTATAATCATGATTGCAGTTGGAATTAATATGATATGTTGTAATCATAANTCAAAAATTGTTAATAACTAATATAATAATATTTAAAATCAGGTATTTATTTTTCTTCTAGTAGAGGATAGTCTACTTTACACGTCTGTCAATAAATACTAATAATATATTGGATTTTTTGTTAGTTAAAAATAGTTAAGTAAAAAATGTTACAATTGACCCCACTCTCCCCTACTGTTTTGCGTGCCAGAGGTGATCCTACTCCATATTGAAAGTAGTTTTTCTTTTCTAAACTGAGACACCTGATTTATTCATTTCATATTTATACTAATTTTTGTAGCACCATAATTGTCCGGTTAATACTTTTTATGTTATTTTATACTTTATTATGAGCACTATAATGTGTGTCAGTTTCATTAGTCTACGTTTGACTTTTTGAGTTATGAGTCATTTTTGCGATTTTTCCTTAATTTGTGATAGCCAGTGTATACAGTCGTTTTTGCTTGTAATCGTATGTTTTGATTACTTGCAATCACGATTACAGAGTACAGCATTAATCAAAATTATGCGAAGTTGTAACCATGATTACAAGTAATTAATTACGTTTTCCCATAAAATTCGTGTTGAAATTTAAAATTTTCTAGCTATTCATATTCAGAAAATATGCATAGAGCTTACGGTAAAGTTATCGTAAAATTCAGAGGTTAATTAACATTATCCTAATTGAAAATTATCTTAAAGATTTTGTTATACGTCAGTGCTTTCCTAACTATTGATTTAAAAAAAATTCTAAGTTTGAGTAAAAATAAGGACATACTTCAGTAACCTAATAATTATAAACTATTAACTAGGATTTTGAAACTGCCATAGTGCTTATGTGAAACTTGTGTTATAATTAAGTGACCTTCTAATCAATAACTATTTTTTAAGAGCTCCCAGAAGTTTGTGTAAAACTAGTTTGTAACATATTTCTGTGACCTTCTAGTTTTAAAACTTGTGTAAAACTAATTTTTGTGTTTTAAGATGATCATTGTGATTCTGTAAAACTAATGTTATACTACAGTGTTCTCCGATCTAAAAAGTTTTTTTTTTAACGATCATAAACATTGAGCAAAACTCATGTTACATCTCAGAGATCTTCTAACTGGGTGTAAAACTCATTTTAAATTTCAGTGACCAACTATTAATTAGATTGTAAAGTTTTTGCAAAACGTATATTTATATTTCATGTGTTAACACGTGTTTATATAATATTCCACTGACTCTCTAACTAGTTGTAAAGTTTGTGTAAAACTCTTGTTATATTTCAGTGACCTTCTAATGTATAAAGTTAGTTTAAAACTCATTTTAAATTTCAGTGACCAACTATTAACTAGATAATCAAATTTGCGCAAAACGCATATTCATAATTCATAAAAAAACACGTGTTTATATAATACTCTATTGACCTTCTAACTAAATCTGAAATTAGTGTAAAACTCGTGTCATATTTCAGTGACCGTTTAAAGTTTTTGTAAAACTTAATTTAAATTTCGGTGACTTTATAACTGGTAAAGTTCGTGCCATGTTTCAGTAACCTTCTAACATGTAAAACTCATTTTAAATTTCAGTTGCCTTCTAACTAGTGAAATTTATGTAAAACTCGTGTCATATTTCAGTGATTATTTAACGAGTAAAGCTTTTGTACAACTTATTTAAAATTTCTTTAACCTTCTAAGTGGTAAAGTTTGTGTACAACTCGTGTCATGTTTCAGTGACCTTTTAACGTGAAAAACTCATTTTACAATTTAGTGACCTTCTAACTAGTGAAATTTATGTAAAAGTCTTGTCATATTTCAGTGACCGTTTAACGAATAAAGTTTTTGTACAACCTATTTAAAATTTCTTTAACCTTCTAAATGGTAAAGTTTGTGTAAAACTCGTGTCATGTTTCAGTGACCTTCTAACGTGTAAAACTCGTGTCATATTTCAGTGACCGTTTAACGAGCAAAGTTTTTGTAAAACTTATTTAAAATTTCGGTAACCTTCTAACTGGTAAAGTTTGTGTAAAACTCGTGTCACGTTTCAGTGACCTTCTAACGTGTAAAACTCATTTTAAATTTCAGTGGCCTTCTAACTAGTGAAATTTATGTAAAAGTCTTGTCATATTTCAGTGACCGTTTAACGAATAAAGTTTTTGTACAACCTATTTAAAATTTCTTTAACCTTCTAACGTGTAAACTCGTGTCATGTTTCAGTGACCTTCCAACGTGTAAAACTCATTTTATATTTCAGTGACCTTCTAACTAGTGAAATTTATGTAAACCTCGTGTCATATTTCAATGACCTTCTTACTAAGCTTTTTAAAAACGACCATGTAAAACTTATGTTATACTCGAGTGATCATCAAATCTTTGTTGATTTTGAAGAATTCTGTCGTGATAATAAATAAGGAGTGATGTAATCAAGTGAGCACGTAATGAAACAAAACACAGTAACAAAAAGTCAAAATATTTATTTCCGTTCTTGACTCGATTAGGGCGACGCATTCGCCCGATATTCACATATCATTCATTATATTCTACAGCACATGAGAGGAATGAGAAAAAACAAAGAAATGTATAACAGTAGGGGGCGCAACAAACGATTGGGGGGAACTGTACATGAGGGGATCGGGAACTGCACAAGCGGACAGGTCAATCATGTCCAATATTGTTTTTTTTTCTTCTTCTTTCGAGTCATTGATTTATTTTCAGTATTCACAGTCATAAAAACAAAACAATTTTGATGATGTCAGTTAAAACAAAAATGGCCGCGGCCAACAATTTTATATTTTCATTATCTGTCTCTCATTTAAAACTGTACAAGATTTTGTTTTAGACCTGGGTGTACGTACGTAGTAACGATGCAAAGATCAATTTCATTTTTTTTATTTTATTTTAAAAAGAACATTTATGTTCTTAACTGTACAAATAATGAAATGTTATGATTTATACAGAAACTATTTTGAGCATTTTTTTTAATAAAAAAAAATTGCGGTCTTTGTTAACTCACTGCATTCTGTAAGTATAAATACATAAATAAATAACACAGCATTACATAATGTGAAAAACATTTTTTTATGAATAATTTATATTTTCTAAAAAAGAATAATGTATATTAATGTTTAAAAGAATCAATTTGGATGCCTGCCAATTTCAGAAGTTTTGTTTGCTAAATATTGCAATGAATATTGATATTTAAAAAACTTTGCGCATGCAATAACAAAAATCTATAATTTGTGAAGGATACGTGAAACACGTATTTTTTTTAATAAATACATATTTTAAAATCTAAATTTTTTAAGAACACTTCAGAATTATAACCATTGAGTAATTATAACCAAGATTGCGTAATAAGTTATTCAGAAATAGTTTTAAAGAAGTTAGAGTGTAAAAAATTAGATAGTTAATAACGGTAACGATATTATCATCAACAGCAATCCTGTCGACATTATCGTATCCGATTTTTATCAATAGTTATCGAGATAATACCGTCGATAATAAACATGCGAATAATTTTTAATTTAATTTATTTCGCAATTTTTAAGAAATATCAACGTTTTAGTTTTAACACAAAATGTTACCAAGTTCTGATTATATGAAAATAAAAGGCTGTTTTAAGTTAGGCAACATTAATAAATCCTTTATATTCAATAGCTATTGTAAATGCAAAACGTAGAAAACAAACGAGAAAATCCTTATTACTTCATTAAATACATGGCCTTGGTATGTGAAATTTCAGATTTATTTTCGTTAAAAGTGCTCTCTAAAAACGGAATTAATGTTGATAATGAAGAGTAATGATTAATATCAATGGTGTGATAAAAATGAGTATGATATATTAAAAACTATTTTTGTGATATTAAAATCTGTTAAAAAATATATTAGCTTAAATTCAGCGTAGTTAAAAATCACTTGCCGTTAACTTAAAAAAAAAAGCAAAGTATTCAATTATTGAATAAATTATCATCGTTCTACACATAATAGATTTTATCTATTAACACACAAAAAAAATTAGTTTTATAACAAAGCAAATGGATTTTTAATTTAGGTTAAGTTGAGTTTAAATCCCGTAACCTAAATTAAAAAATGAAAATGTTTTAATTATAAAATTATGTATTTTGTTTCTTTTACCATGAACTTAAAAACATTGTAGAATTCTATTTTAGAAACAAATATCAGTTTAGAAAAAAAAAAACAGCTTCATAATATAAACAGTTTGTTGCGATTCAAGTAGCTTTGTTTTGTCGATATTTCAGAAAAACATTAGTTTCATAACAACAATATAAATTTAAATTAGTAAGTATTAGTATTTCGTAATGATAGTTTACGCAAGTAAACAAAATTTGATTTTAACATTTCAAATCATGTTTATAATAACAACTAGTAACTACTGATCACAGTAAAAAAAAAAAAAAAAGTTATACATGAGTTGAAAATAACGAAATAAGCGAATTGCACCGAAAAATAAGTGAAATAAGCAATTGGCACCGGAAAAAAGTAATACAGCTACATTTTTACTCAATTTATATTAATTGCAACGCATGGCAAACTAGTGGATAAATTATTATCCATGTGTAGTGGATAAATTATTATCCTTGAGTAATTTAATTTCAATATCATTTCAGACCACAATTTAATTATTATTACTTTTACATTTTTGTACACATCCTTCTAAAGAAAGATTTTTTTTAAAAGAGTTTTTACCCAAATTAGATTTTTACTTTTTTTAAAATAAAATGTTTCTAAAACGCACTAAATTGGAACTACTTTATTAGAAGTTTCGTAGCATGTTGAATCCCGATATCGCTGCAGTTTTCTGAAAACTTAATATAGTGCAAAAATGGACCATATTATTGTATTTCTTAAACTTGATTATACAATGCTATGGTTCAACTAAAACGGAAACATAGTTCAACTTAACATCCTATTAAGACTGCAACCAATTTGCATCGCATTTAGAGGACGCCATACAGCGGAAGAAAATTTTCCTCGTTAATTCTCTTTTTCCTTCATTACTAATTTAAAGTGTAAAAAAAGTGAGTTCAGACAAACCTAAAGTAAGTTATTTAGTTTCAAATAAAAAGAAAAATTTAAAATATACAAATGAAAATAAATTATGAAAAGATAACTTAGGATTACGCAACGGTGAAGTTCTCAACTAATAATTTGTTTGCATTTTAATATTTTGAAGAATTTTTTTTCAGCAACTGAAACTTCATGACATACTCCAGGTATTTCTAAACTTACTTTTTCTTTCTTTAAAGTTTGTAATGAAGGACAAAGAGGAATTTGGGACGAAATTTTCTTCCGCGGTATATCATCCTCTTAACACCTCAACGATCGGTTAATTTTCAAGAAAACGGTCATAAAAGTGCCTATTTTGCCAAATACACGTATTTGATTAGTGCTGACATCTAGTTTAAAATAAACTAACTATCTACAACCTTAAAAATATCCTGGTACTGCCATCTGGTGTGTAAAATTACAAATAAAATTCTTTCCGGGCAAAAGAAATGAATTAGTTTTATTCTTAATGGTGCGTTGCTACAGAACACTTCAGCCCGGAAATTTCACGGGAGCGAGAAATAGAGGGCGAAACCTCACCCCGTCATTTCACGGAATCGAGAAGGTTAAGGTTTAACTCACCGTTGCACTGCAGTTCAACGGTGAGTTGATTCTTCTGATGGAAGAAAATAACGGTGCAATTCACTTTTTGGTTAGACTATTGTAACTAATAAATCATTGAAGAAACTGGCCATCCGTAACAGAACGCAGTGAGAGAACGATTGAACACATAAGGAGAGGTGAAGTAGGTCAACGCACACTCCAGGTCAAGACGGATCACACATTCATATTCTAAGTACAAAATATAATTCAACAAAATAAAATTTGATGGGGGGTGTACTGAAAATAAAAACAAAAATCACACAATAAAATCGGGTCGGAGAAGAAATGTCAATGATAAGAAATGGACGACATATAGATGACGGACGATGGAGCGCAGGCCCTATTGATGTGACGTCATCAAACAGGCAAGCTTTAACACGTATATGATGAAGGTGAGGGGTTGAAGAAAAAAAACCGACCCCCACAATTTTTTGTTGTTTTATTTATAACAAGTTCGCCAAGTTCCTCTGTTTGTTGAAATATGGCACGATTTTTTTTTGTTAGTGTGTTTTCTCACACTAAGTTCAAACGTCAATAGTTCTTTTTTGGATTTTGTTATTTTGAGAGAAGGTTCTACGATGAGAAGTGGTCAGAGGTATTCCACTCTTCCCGGTCGCAGTCAACTCACAGTGGCACATAAAAATTGAGAGTCAGTCTGAGGCTATCAACCACCGTTTCGGGGCCTGATGGTCTCTATAGGCTCTTCATTTGACAAGTTCGTTCGTAAATAATATTTATATAACAAGAGTTCGGATTGCTGGAGAAGATCTCCTTAATAGAGAAGAAAATTGGCTGAGCTACTATGGATGTAATTCTGGTGGCTGCAAAAGAAAGAAAAAAAATATCAGTAAAATGCTCATTAATTTATTAAATTAGTTAACAAAAATTTTAAAATAAAATAATAAAGGAATAAATAGATGCTAATTTCAACCCAAACTATGCTATACTTAAACCTATAAGAAGAAATATAATGGTATTTTTGTAACCGATTGAGTCTATTAGCTGAAATACCATAACCAACTGAAAAACTACTTTTTTATTTATTATTATTTCATTGCCTCTTATAATTACTATGAGTAATATGCGTACTTTTAAAACCCTTATCAGAAATGTTTTTTATTACGTATATTTTTTTAATTCCATCACTAGAACCATCATTTTTTAGATGCAGGCTTTCTGATTCCATAACTAGAATTACCATTTTTAGAGGAATATTTTTTTTATCCATTTCGAACCGCCATTTTTCAAGTGCAAGCGTTTTTATTTCACTAATAGAACTGTGATGTTTTAGATTCATTTGCATACTTTTTAACTCTATAACTAGAACAGCCAATTTTTAGATGCATATTTTTTAATTCCATAACTAGATAATTCCATAGTAATTTTTAGATGGATACTTTTTAAGTCTAGAACTAGAACAGTAATTTTTAGATGGATATTTTTTAAGTGCAGAACTAGAACAATAATTTTTAGATGGATACTTTTTAATTCCATAATTAGAACAGTCATTTTTAGATGGATACTTTTTTAAGTCCAGAACTAGAACAGTAATTTTTAGATGTATATTGTTTAACTCCATTACTAGAACAGCCATTTTTAGAGGCATTTTATTTAACTCCATTGCTAGAATTGCTGTTTTTGAATGTATACTTTTTTTTAAACACAACTACTGGAACAGCCAATTTTTTGATACATACTTTTTATTTCATTAAAAAGAGATATCATTTAAACTTAAGATTATTCAATTTCACAAAATCAATGACTTAAAAGTTACACGGAAGCTTGTAAAATTATTAAGTTCCAAACATAACATCGTTTCAACAAAATAAAAAAAAAAAAATAAAAATAAAAGAAACATTCAGTTGACTTTAAAAATTTAATAATAACGAATTTTTGTAAAATAATTACCCTTTAAGTCCCGTGACGTCATCACTAGGAGAAGATATCGGTTCTAAGCGATGACGATTTAGGACGACCCGGGACTTAAAGAGTTACAGAACTGGACCTATCCCATCACAACCTAGTGTAAAAAATCAACTGTAAGTAAAACTAAATACAAAAATATCAAATAAAAATAAAAAAAGAATCTACTGTCAGCATAATGAAACACGTGATCCCGGTTGACCAAATTTTTAACTTATTTATCATCCTTGCAAAATATTATGATATACATAACTAAATTAAAATATCAATACTCTTTAGTTAGATAAAGCTAGTTATTAGTTAATGATTATAACATAAAATTTGTGTAGTACAATTTATTCAATATTCTAGTAACAAATGTTTCTTTACTTAAATCTTACCAGTTACCACACTACTAACTTAAAAAATCACAATTAAATAAATAAATTAAAAAAATAATTAATTATAATGTATTCACATTTTTATTACATGATTTATTTGTAAATATTTTTTCATATGAGGTGTTAGGTGTCAAGCAAATCCGATTCTCTTTTTCTAAAATGAATCTTTTTAAAATTATTTGGAAGTGTATGCAGGTATACTTTAACATTCTGAGCGCACATCCATTTAATCATTCTCCATTAAAAAAAATAAATTTTTTTTAAAAATAAGTTCAGGATAAACGAAAAGTTATCTTTACAACTTTGACTAGAATTGTCAAAAAAATAAATAAAAAAACAAACAAACTAGTTTTAAATTTTTAGGCAGGTTTTTTTTTTAGAAATAAATAAATAAATAAAGTTAGCATAGTTTTTAAAATGCAAAAATATCAAAACATTTAAAGAAATGTTTGCGGCTGTGATTTTTATTTCGGCAAAACTGCGACACACTTCTTTTTCTTGTCTGTCTTGCATTATTTTGTCATCGAACCTTTTCTGTCATCGTCTTGTACCATTTTAAATCGAACAGGCTTTTTAACTAGCATTATTAAAATGCAAATACATGATTTTTCTCTCTGGAAAAACTGATCTATCTGATGCTTTAAGCCAAACAACTCACATGCCTCCATTATATGAAGTATAGTTATTTTTATTCAATATTGATAGTTAGATAGATTTTTTTACCTGATGCATGCTGGGATCGTAGAGACCACCCGATCCGTGTTCATACCCCGCTGTTTGGGAGATGACATGCCTGAGGGCGTTAGCCTATGTAGAAAAAAACAACAATAATTCATTCCACATCTTGAGATTGCAATAAAAAAACCATAATAAAATTCAAGCTGCATTAAAATTCATACATAAAACTAGACATTTCACTAAAGTAATAGGCATAACATCAGCGATTTATATACACCGAAGAGCCATTACATTATGACCAACCTCCATCTATAACAATGGGCTCGTCCAGGTTTTCATGGTTTCTTGCCCAGGAACAATGTTTTCATGGGGCACATTAGGACCCATAATCCTCGCAGAACAAACTTGAACATAGTTGCAGACCAGGTTCACCCATTCATTGCACCAGTTTTTCCTGCTGGGGAAGGTGCAGGATAATACACCACGTCATAAGGGTCGAATCGTCATGGATTGGTTCGAGGAACATTCCAGTGACTTTCAAGTCATGTTTTGGCCCCCAAATTCACCTGACCTTAATCCAATGGAGCATTTGTGGTCCTACTTGGAAAAACAAATTCGTGCTGCTACGCCACCCCCTTGCAATGTGAGGGAATTGCAGGACCAGTTGGTCGCTTGGTACCAGATACCTCAGACTACCTATCAGCACCTTGTGGAATCAATGCCACGGCGGGTGCTAGCAGTCTTGAGGGCTAAAGGACGTCCTACATGTTATTAGCAGGGTGGTCATAATGTAATGGCTCTTCGGTGTATAAATAACTAAACATTTCGTAACAATTTGGAGGTATAAGATTTTTAAATCTATGCTGCGCATGGTAAAATTGCTTGATTGAAATATTAACCAAGTTGAACCTATTATGAGTGAAATTTAATCTTTGAAATACAACAGCTTAAATCAAGAAAAGTAAAACATCATTTTTTTAAAGCTAAATTAAATAAATTCTGAAACCAAGCTAAAATTTAAATCACGGTTTAGGATAAATATTAATTATAATTCACGTCGGAAAAATATAGAACTAAAAACGCGAATGAATTATCAGAGNCCCAGGTTTTCATGGTTTCTCGCCCAGGAACAATGTTTTCATGGGGCACATTAGGACCCATAATCCTCATAGAACAATCCCTGATGTCTGTAAGCTACTTGGACATAGTTTCAGACCAGGTTCACCCATTCATGGCAACAGTTTTTTCTGCGGGGGACGGTGCAGGATAATGCACCACGTCATAAGGGTCGAATCGTCATGGATTGGTTCGAGGGACATTCCAGTGACTTTTAAGTCATGTCTTGGCCCCCAAATTCACCGGACCTTAATCCAATGGAGCATTTGTGGTCCTACTTGGAAAACCAAATTCGTGCTGCTACGCCACCCCCTTGCAATGTGAGGGAATTGCAGGACGAGTTGGTCGCTTGGTACCAGATACCTCAGACTACCTATCAGCACCTTGTGGAATCAATGTCACGGCAGGTGCCAGCAGTCTTGAGGGCTTAAGGACGTCCTACATGTTATTAGCAGGGTGGTCATAATATAATGGCTCTTCGGTGTACAAATAACTAAACATTTCGTAACAATCTGGAGGTATAAGATTTTTAAATCTATGCTGCGCATGGTAAAATTGCTTGATTAAAATATTAACCAAGTTGAAGCTATTATGAGTGAAATTTAATCTCTGAAATACAACAGTTTAAATTAAGAACAGTAAAACATTTTTTTAAGGCTAAATTAAATAAATTCTGAAACTAAGCTAAACAAGCTAAAATTTAAATCACGGTTTAGGATAAATATTAATTATAATTCACGTCGTAAAAATATAGAACTAAAAACGCGAATGAATTATCAGAGTACTTAAGTAAACTAATGAAATTAATTTTACCTACAACCACACTAACTTAATGAGAAGAAAAAGAAAATTCGAAATATGATATGATGTAGTTTTATGGTTAACAACAACACATGGGAATAATCTCCAACCTCATTTTGCAGCGAGGAAAAAAAAAATTATTTGGCGACAATTTTACAACGATGGTTTTTATTTTACACAAACTTTTTTCTTCTTCTCATGGTGCTGTCTTCTTCTCCTCGCAATTCTTTCCACTATCACCTCTTCAAGCTCATCGGCGGAAGAAATTAGCCAACTCGCCGGGGAATATCTGTCACTCAAAGGTACAGCCCCAGCACAGCGTGGGGCGCGACAAGACAACCCGACCGCCGCTTTAAACAGGCCTCGTTAGTAGGCTTCTAATCGGATTTTGGATCCAGGACTTGCCTTCTTATATTTTTATCTTCCTCTTCCGAATTAGCCCTTGCTTCTTCTTGTGTGCAGGGGCGGCGGTGTAGTAGGGCGCTTCTTGTTTATTGAATTAGCTGCGACACGCCACGTCAGTCTAACAAAGGAGACTTCTGGTAGAACCGATAGCGGTAAAAGCGCAGAAGATGGAGTTTTCTCGCACAACTAAATTGAATTCCGTTTTCTTGAGGTACTGGGGCTAAATTGTGGGTGGGTGACAGTCAACTTAGAGGGTGTCCCCCAGGGAATCTTAAAGAGTTCTAAGCAGACGATGTGATATGCCTCGGTAAGAAGCACCAGTTAAACGGTGATATTGAATATTGTAGGGCAAGTGTAAGATGCCAGCGTGTTAGAGCTTCATTCAATTTTTATAACTTGTTTTTTTTTTTTTACTCTTTCTTACTAAATGGAATAGTGTGTTTTATTTTTTCAACCAATTACATAAGGAGACGATTATATGAAATTATATTCGGTAGATGCTGTTTTTCAAATTTTTGCTGGGGATAAAGTCATTTAATATTCAAAAAAGCTGATGTTGTTCCAAGACACGTAATGAATTTGGGTGACAATATTTACATTTTATATCATGTACACTTAATGCAGCTAATAAAAATAAATCATAAGTCTTAATCTGTTTATCAAATACATTTTTAAGCAAACCAGCTATATTAAAAAGTGGGAATGCTTAGAGTCAGTTTCACTGTATATGCGTAAAATTTTTCATCAATTGTCAATGTTCGAGTTAAACAAAACAAAAATTAGAGGATAGTTTTACAAGAAATTGATAGCAATGTTTAGAGGTTAGAAACGTGATGATGAAAACGTTTAATAATTTTATTTATTTTAAAGGAAATAGGGACTATCGATTTAAAATTTTCACTAAGACGGAATTAAAAGTCGTATGTTCATTTTTACACTAATTATATTATTGTTTTAGCAAATACAAATTGGACGAACGATAGTCAGCTCAGTATATGTTCCTACTCAATATAGCACTTAACAAGGTATTTTTCTTTAATTTGGTACTGAGCATGGGAATATTAAAACAATATTTGTCGTTTTCTGCTTTAAAACTCAGACGCCAAACATTGGGTAATTGTGTAAGTAACCACGGTTAGCCTGACGGCAAGGGGACTCTAACCCATAATCCGTCTACCACATGTCAGCCCTGTGGTCGGTGCAAGCCAGATGCGGAATTCGTACCGACCAGCCCTTGCTGGGATTCGAACCCGGTCCACCTCATTGGAAGGCGAACGCTTGAACTAAATCTGACGCAAATAACAGAGAAAAGATAAAGATAGCTGGGGGCCTCCTGGAACTCGGGGTCAAAGAAGATAAATTTATTTTAAGGTAAATAGCTCGATTTACGTAATATTATTCTCATTCAAACAACTCACTGAAATTTTTCCCCTAATAAACTAATTTTTAAAAACTCTAAAAACTAGTTTGTTTAAAAAATGTTTTTTTTCTCTCTCTTTCTCTGTGATGTATTACAAGATAGAAGACTTTTCTATTCAAAGAACGCAACGAAATACTTTAAAAATAATTTTATAAATTCAAATAAGTTATTTAATCTATTTTAATAAAAAATAAAAATAAATATTTATCCTTTTACAAACGCATTTATTAAAAAGATAACAATTTCTTCTTAACTTTAGAAATAAAACGAAGAAATAATTCCGATAATGATAAAAAATTATAAAAGATATTTCCAATAAAAATTTGAACACACTTCTTAAACATACAGAAAAAAAAATAATCTCTTTAAATCAACTTAATAATATGTAAAAGCGAAATATAAAAAGAAATCTGATTAAAATTTTTATCGTTTTAAGAAAACCATCGAATAAATAAAAAAAGATAATCTCTAATTACTGAAGACATTTTTCTTTATCACTTTACAAAGAGGATTAGATTTATTTTAAAATAAAGATGCTCGAATACATAAATAGTTCAGTCATCAATTTAAACAGAAAAAAAAAACACTAAGTTTAAAATCGCGAACAAACTTTAATCTTTAAGTCGATTATCGCAACTTTTGATGATAAAAAGAAACAAACGCGTTTAAAAAAAATAGCCAATTCCTTCAAAAAACAAACAAAAAGGATTGGTTTAAAAAAATAAAAAGAACGAACGAGACGGAACATTTTAAAATTAAAAGAAGGAAAAAAAAATGGCTCGAACAAAGTCGAATCAGGGATAAAAGTTCTTTTTGAAAGCTTTATGTTGCCATCCTAACTGCATATTTTTACATTTATTCCCTCTACTTTTCTATAGTGCCGCCAGTTTTATGTCGTGATCACGCTTTAAGCTCACTTGACCTCTTTTAGAACTTTTTTTGTGCTCTTCACTTCATTTCTAATCTAATACTGATTTCTTTTCAGTTTTACATTGGTATTTTTCCTCAATCGTCTGCTTTCAAGAAATCAAATGTTACAAAAAGCACTTTAAAAGAAGTTTTTGAATTTAACTTCAACTACTATGTTTAGTGTTCAGTTAATTGCGGAAAAATCGTTTGCTGATTTTCAAAAGTTTTCTTTTTTTTTATTCTTTTATGCTGGCATTGCCTTGAAAAATCACTTTGAGGAAAAGAGAAAGAAAAAAATAAGATTATACTTCAAGAGCTCCTTGAAAATAAGTAAATGAAAAATTTCTCCAACCTCAGATTTTTATCGTCGATCTCGGTTAAAAAGAAAAATCGAATTTAGAAAAATTTTTCTATGATTGCAGATGAAATGAGAAAAAAGAAATCCCATTAATTTATTTCAAAGTCATCAAAATAATACTAACTTTGCATTTCTAAAACATATTAATAGGTATTATGTTTAAATGCGGAAATAAATTTAAAAAAAGGTAAAAAAAGGGACTTTTTAATATATACACGTGACTTCTGCTGATGAGAAGGATCCAGAGGTTATAAAATGTAGGCTGGTACAACTATTTTTTTATTTTTTATTCCTTTTAACAATATCAGAAAGAGCACTTTTTCACAGTATGTTTTGGATCCAGAGGTCATAAATTTAATAAAAATACAAAGAATGGAATAGGCAGGTTACGAATGTATAAAGATTTCACCATAAAGAAAAAAAATCCTTTATGCCAGGATACAGGCCAACGATGGAAAGGCAGACCTAGCTTGTGATAGTTAGATAGAATCAAACAATGTGGATCAAAACCTTGGTTATCAATGACACCAAGGTTTGTTTGCCAAGATCAAAACAATGGAGAACGCTAGCAGGTAAAAGAAAAGCTTCGAAAAAACTTCTTGGGATAGCCAGGGTCTAACCCCGGCTGAAAAGCTAATGAAAAAGACATGGAAATTACTGGAACATTGAAATTACTATCCAACAATCAAATTGATTAAAAAGCCGTTTTTATCATCAAAAGTTATAAACTGACCATTTTTTTTAAAAGTAATTTAGTGAAAATATTTAACAGTTAATAATATTTAAGAGTAGTGAACAACATTTAATTTGTAATGTCAGTGAATCTAATTATGTGATATAGTGGATATAACAATACGTGTGGTGGAATAATTTTTTAGTAGTCCGAAGGATCAATTTCATTACGAGTAAAGCATTTTTTTATGAATTAATTTGCATTGAAATCATTATTTTAGCTGTACACACTATTTAGTTGAATAACATGCAATTATGCCAATTCTTAAGTTTAGGAATTTAATAAAATTGTACTTGGAGATCGAAATCGATAAATAAGGTGCATGTTACCTTTTGCAATGTGATAGTTTACCCTTTTAAACTTTTCTTTAAATAGCTAACAACTACATGTTTTTTTAAAATTAAAATTATATGTATTAATTACCTGTGACTGTACATTGGCCCCCATGGACTGGTAGGAGTCCCCACCATTCAAGCTCATGTTATACATAGAATCCTGGGGTGCCCCAGGTGGCGGTGGGCTGATCATTTGACCCGGTTGCTGACCTTGAGAAGTTGGCACCATATTGTAAGGAGAAGAACCCGCTGTAAAGAAACAAATACAGGAATTCAATTTATATAGAAGGGTAAAAACATAGAACAAATAATCGAATCCTTGAAATGTGAAAATAGTATCTGGCAAAAAAACTGGGGGAATAAGCATGTTAAAACGAACTAATTTTATATTTAAGCTCACTTAACTAAATCTCTAACAAATCGCTTTGAATGAAATAATATCTAGCATAGATTTTTAAGATAATTTCACCAATTCCTATAAAATGTTACTTAACATGTTAATACGTGCTTCAATCAATGGTTCATGGCTCAGTCCATAAAATTGGCGTTTTATAGTTTGCGATAGTCTGCTTGAATTTTTTTTATACATATAATTTAGTTTTATATAATTAAACAAATTTCAAATTTAATCAAAAAAGTGAAATAAGTTGATTCATAAATGAATTAAATAAAGTAAAAAGGAAACGAGACATAACATATATATTTCAATTAAAAAAAAGTGATAAAACTGAAGTGCATGTTTTTATCACTAAGGTGATTACGCGCATCTCTCTACAAACATAAACAAAATTTTGTTCAATATTTTTTTAACGTGCTTGAATCATCAATTTATATAGTTTTTAAATATATTTGTTCATTATGTGTCATAATTACATAATGATCTGTTAAACACTGAGTTTAGTAAACATTAAACAATATACCATTATTACCCTTAAAAAATTATAAATTTTGACTGAATCAATTAAAATTTACACTTACTAAATTTAATATGGCAATATTTTCAGTTCAAACGCAACGTTAAGATTTTTAGGGCTTGTAGACGACGGTACGGTGAGGTTGATAGTCGATTTCTGATATTTGTTAAAGTCCGGCAAGTTTTAATTTAACTCCCTTTAATTTCAAGAATGTTAACCTACTGCCAAATTCAGCTTGCTTTAATGAGTGGTGGCTACCTGATTTCGTATCACATTGTAAATGTGTTGAAAATCATGAAATGAATACCCAGAATACCCTTAGTATAAAATAGAACTAGTGACATAAGTACATCTATTGCACTAAATGTAAATTAAGTTTAAAATTAAATAAAAATAGACGATAAAATTTAACATAGTCTTGATTAAGAATCCATTATTTTTAACAAAAAAAAATAGAAAATCGATATTTCGCCCCTAAGGGTGTTAAATAGGGGCTGAAAGGTTGTAATATAATAATAAAATGAAGATTTTTTGTGTATGTGTCTGTGTCTCTTTCTTATATCTCCAGGACCATTTGCGTTAGCGTCCTGAAATATGGGCAATGGGTAAAAGGGTTAATTTTAGCCCTAGAACTTAAAATTATTTAAAAATTTCAATTAGGAGAGACATTTGAAAAATTGAATTTTCTGTTTAATATAGCATTAGCCGTTGTCTTTAACTCTAGATTGCCTAAGGAAGTCATTTTGACTGCTTTTAATTTCAATTAGAAAAACAATGATGCATATAATGACACAATTTCTTAGAATTTTGTACAGCATATAATTTTTTTATTGCTAATATTTACTAATAACTTGTTATATAAGTGTAAATAATATAAAAAATATTAAAAATTAATTTTAAACATTTTTCTTTACGCATTATTTATTCTTTTACAATCTAGTCATTTTGACTGCTTTTGGGCAATATATAAAGTAATCTAAAACCACGTGTTTATTTTAGTTATGCTTATAGATTGTGTTTCTATTAAATTATATAATTTAAAATCAACGGTATATGAAATTAAAAAAAAAAGAAAGCATTGTACTGAAAAGAAAAATAGATGGAGAAATGGTACTAATTCGTTAAAAAGAAGCATAACAAATCGCTGTACTATAAGTGACGCTAATGATGCTTAATTTTGGTAATATGTCCTAAACGAATTTAAAAAAAAAAAGCTACGTATTAAGAACCAAAACAATTGATAAATGGTAGCTGTTCACTGAGGAGAAACTTAAAAATTCTTCATATTGTTATTGACGCTAATGATGTGTAATAAATTTTGATAATAGGCATTACTGATGTAATGGTAATTGGTGCAGTTTTAATAGTTAGCAGTGGTATAACGATACCCATATTAGTACATTAGGTACCTATTATATAAAACTGTGTATTACTTAAAACTGTACCTCTTAAAACAATGTTGTGCATTTTTATAAAAGAATTTTTACGTGAACTTACGCTGAATTTTTTTTGTCTAGTATTAATTCTTTTAAATTTTTTTTTTAGTACGTCAAAGTAGACAGCAAAACGGTATAAATAATTTGCGTTTTAATTAGCACTATTTTTATAGGCATAAAAAAACTCTAGATTTTTATAATAGTTAAAAGATTTTAAATATATATGAATAGAAAACAGGAAAAAAAGAATAAATAAGGGGACAGAAAATTTTATTTTGATCAAGTTTATGTTTTGCAATTTACGTTTTATATATAAGTATAGTAATAAAATGCTAACAAATTGAAAATAATAAATGAAATTCAAGAATTAAATATAGAATTTCTTAGAGAGAAAAAAAAATTGAAAAATCTAAATTTCTAAAATGACTCAAAGATGCGAATTTAGAAATAAAGGTCGATAAAATACTTGTTTTTTTTTATCAAAGTAACAAACAATTATACTAAAATAATGAAGTTTTTCCGAAAAATAATAGACGGTATGCATTTTAAACAAAACGATGAGGAAAAACACGAATCATTACCCGCATATCACAATTAAGAATGAGTTATAAATCTGGTCATCTCAACATGCTGTCAACTTTGAATGAAATCCCGGAAGTGACGTGGTTACACAATTGAAGATTTATTATGATTGCCAAATTAAAGAATTAATTAACAATTAAGACCTTCGAGGAACACAGGAAACAAACAGGGCTTTAATCGTTGCCATATTCAATTTTGTTGCGAAAGTTAAATAAAAATTTCCATAGGAAGTAGACAAAAATAATTTCCCAAGCAGACGGTTAATAAAATGCTGCCATATGTAGTATACTAATAATGGCACTGTAGAGAGAAATATGATTTATGTAAGTTACGTCACATCCTTTATGCACTCAAAGTGTATTAAATACCCTAACGCAAGCAAGGCACATGCGCGAATTGTGAGCAACTTTAAATTACGAATATCTACTGAATGATTTATGGAGATTTATTATCATTAACAAATAAGCAGGAAATAAACATTTAATTTGCCGTAAATTAATCATGTTCATTTCATGAAAAATTAGAGTAAGAAGTTTGCATAGCTGGGAAAGTCACGCAGGTTCTTAAAAATAATGCAATACGTGCAAAATTGCATCGAAAATAAAAAATAAATTAATTAAAATCTGGAATTTGATTGAAAATATCAATCATAAAAATATTAACTTTTATGCTGAATGTTAGCATTTGATAATAGCCGTCTTTCTCATTTTAGAAATTTTATTTGCTATTTATTCTTGTTTGCACTAATAATAATTTATTTTATAAAGCTAACGTTTTTAAGTTGGCAAAAGAACAATTAGTTCTTGTGCGCGATTTCAATGTCCCTCATATTGTAAATAGACGTTCAAAATATGTTAAAGAATGTTGAAAATATGTTAAAAATATATTCAACATAGAGGAATTCTGACGGGAAGAAAATACATAACAGACAGTTAACTTAAGTAGCCTGGGTTTGGCTAATATTTGAAGACAAGATTTGTTAAGAACGTGTTTAGCACAAGGCATCTTTAACAGTTGTATAAAAATAACTGTATTAATGTAACAGACATTTATGTAAATCTCGCACCATTAGTCATAACAATGGCAATTTATTAAGAATCCTGATAGCATAAACAAAACTGAAGGCGCTTTTATAAATCAAATCATGCACAAATCAGATCATACAAAAGCACAAAAAAGGAGAAGAAAAAAAATTCGAAAAAGGGGAGTCAACTGAGTCTGAAGGAAAGGATTTAGGCAAGTACATATTTACGAGATGTCTCCTATACATGTCTTCACATCCGGGACATGTTTGACAAAGAGCTGATAGCAGCAAATAGCCCAACTAAAGTCGTCAGGAGACACAGAGTGTCCATAGCATTTATCAATGACCCCAAACTTTCTCACTGCTTAACATCCATCTAAGTATATATCATCCCCCCATGTCTGAATTTATACGGCAGGGGCTTTCCTTTTTCTTCTTTTTTTTCTTTTACAACCCACGCCCTACAGCCACGGAGCCCCGGCGGGGCAAAGTAGTAGGCAACGGTCAATTGGGGAATAGTCCTTGCAGAATGGATACACACACAGCCAGCGATAACACCAGAAGATTGAGAGTGACTGCAAAGTAAATAAATAACTTCCTTCAGAATCTAAAAAATATAAAGAAAAGCGGGATAGGGAAGTGCCCAACGGGCGAGGAACATGTCTGCGGGATAGTCCCATGGTCGCCGTTATGCTAAATCCAAATGGCCAAAAACGGTGACCGGTAGAATGGATTCATGTAAATTTCCCTCCCTTTTAGGACTAGATGTATATATGCATGTACATTCGTTGAGACGTGAGGGTACATAACAAGGCTATGTATCATGGGGCATTCCATTGCTGACATACTGTATCTTTAGAAGAACAGAAAGGGAAGAAAATGTTCGAATGGGATGGGGATGTTATGCACAGGAGGTGAGGGAGATGGGGTACCCCTTTTGTTGCGTGCGCCATGGCTTCAAAGACTTGCTATTCGTCTAGCGATGACACAACGAAATGGAATAGCATTAATGCATCAAAAACCTCTGGCATGGGAGATGAGAAAGCTTTTTGCTGATATTGCTTTTGGGGGAGATATGTCTTCTCGGTTTTCTTCTCATCTTATATGTTTTATATGTATGGTGGGCGCTATTAACTGTGAGATTATGTGCTGACTGCGCTCGTATAGTTCATAAACATCTCCACTAGCACCTTTCTTTTCTTATTTATTTTTGATACAGTTTACTTAGATGCTATTATTTATTTATGAAAAAGATTTTTTTCATAGCTTTCCTACTATTGCTGTACAGTCTATATTATATTTTCAATTTTATGGATTTGTATTAATAAATACGAAATAAAATATTATGATTTCAAAAAGTAACTTTTTTTTCTTCTTCCAAATTATTAAAAGATATTAACTCAGAATTACAAGTGAAAGCATTTTTTTATGAAATATTGGGCACGAAATAATTTTATTGTAATTTTATATTAAGGACGTTATAAATGAAAAAAGAAATACGTGTTGACAAAGCATTTTTTCCACTGTTTATTCATAACACTGTTATAAACACTCTTTTCAATGACAATATGTTTTTGTTACTCAAATAAATAAATAAATAAAACTAATTAATTAGTTTAATGTTCGAATCATGTAGCTTTTAGTGTTGGGGAAAGAAAACATTAATTCTGGATTTTTGGCCAAGCCTTTTACAATTCTGACCAGCCCTCATAAAATATTAATTTTAAGTTCATTTATTTCGATGGATTGTTATGAATTGTGTTTAAGACTTTGATACAGTCTAAATTATATAATAATCAAACTATATGATAATCTTCATATAGTTTGAACAGCAATTAACTATGTAAAGATTGGTTGAGAAAAAGGAAGTAATTTACAAACAGTAAATTCCGAGAAAATTGTATTATCAATGTTCAAGTTTTCTACGAGTAGAACTAAAAGTAGCAACCACAATTCTCGAAAACATTTCGAAATCTTCAACCAATGATTTAATTGTTGAGTTTCTTTTCATCATTAAAAAGCACTCCACATCATAAAATTAAGCGATTACGTGCCCCACTGTAAAACCTTCGCTTTTTTCAATGGCAATATTTTGATCCAAGTTTTATATTTTGATCTAACCTTATACTCTCTTTCATTATCAATATTACAATCTAACCTCTGCCTCTTTTTCTTCAATAGCAATACCATTTATTTACTTTTGATGCAAGTCAACTCTCATTCCCGTCACAGATATTAATGAGGAAGATTCAGATTGCATTTTACTTATTCCTTTTAGTGTTTAGAGCTATTGAAGGAGCACAAAAGAAATCCGCATGGGTGGTCCAATTTTTTTTTCTCCAGCCTGGACCATCCTCCCTGGAGACGGAACCAAAGAAGTTGATCAGCACTAAGTACCAAAGCAAGTAGGAATAAATAAAAGAAAAGGAGGAAAAAATGCACCAAAACCGAGAACACAGAGAATGGAAATCCCGGAAATAACAAAAGAGATGCAAAAAGGAAGGACAAAAAAAAAAAAATCAATTTCCCAAATGGACAGGCATTTTTTCCCCTTCCTTTCAGAGTTGGCTGCTGCTCTTTTGTGTAGTTTATTTCTTTAAGGGCAATTTTTCTGTTTCAGAGTTAAGAGTGGGGCCACTTAAGGCTATAGACCATTCTGCGAAGCTTTTTCATGCTAGAGGCAATCCATTTTTGACTGTGCCCAGTATGAAGCATAGCCAGAGATGGAAGAAGTAGGAAGAAAAAAAAAAAAAAGAAAGATAGATCGTCCATTCAACATGTTGTTTTTGAAGCTTAGACATAAAACAGAAAGACTTAAACAGATTTGTTTCGCAGCGATAAAAAATTTACAACTGTTATGAATAAAAGTTCAAATGTTTTTTTATGTGCTTCGGACTTTGGTTGATTTGATTGAAAGCATTTTTTATTTGCCTGCTAGACGAAAGGTTCTGAAGGTTTTTGAATTTCTCAATTGTATTAATCCAGAAGTGTAAGTTCATTTTTATCTTAAGTATGCCCAACTACATTTAAAAAAAAGTTGCACTACTTGTGTGTTTTAAATACATTAAGTAATTTTGCAGATATATTGTTATAAGTTCAAATCTCATACTAATATTATACACAGATTTATTTTTTCAGTCATCAAACGGGTTTATTATTCAAACGTTACGAAACATTTTAACAAGCTAAATACTTAATACGCCATGTTAATATGTTTCCTAATGCATGTTGAGATAACGTGTTCACTCAACTTTCAAAACAACCTCTTTCAGGTGCTACTACTAGTACTTATCTACTGCATTAATAATATATATGCTTCGGAATAAAGTTATTTTTTATTAAAAATCTTTTATATTTGTCTGCAATGCAAAAGTTTTGAAGATTTTTGAATTTCTGTACTAAATTTATTTCAAGGCTTTTCATAGAATTTGCTTTTATACGCTTATAACACAACTTTTAATTTTTTTCTCGGCGCTTAGAATTTTTAATAAAAAGAACTATCGGATGCCTTGTGGTCATCAAACTTTCCACCCAGCAGTTAATTCACCTCGAACTAACAAAATTACTTGGCAAGTAATCAATGTAGTAAATAATACTACAACAGTTGTAATATTTCCTAAAAACTGGGGTAAAAATGTATTTGTTTTTCCAGATATTAGTCTGCTTCCTTTTCGTTTATTCAAGCGTAATTTTATGAATAGTAGTAATTTACGAAGTACAAGTATGGTACAAGTAGCGTAATTTAATGAATGTAACAGTTCTAATTTCCCATTAAATAAATTACATTATTTTTACAATAAAATATACATAATATAATATGCAACACGCATCAATCTAAAAGGTAATTAGTGTTCGTCTATTACAACAGCATCTCTATAATTATAATTATTTAAATAATTTCCTTTATTACTATAAATAGCATGAGTTCTTAAGTCACATACTTAACTATAGCCATGCTTAAATAAATTTTTCTTACATATTTTTTTTATCAGCGTTATGTGTTTAAATTATTTATTTCTTTTTTAACACCTGTTAATTTTTTACGATGGAATTGTCCTTCGATATATATTTCGTTGTTGGGAAAGTAATTTCATTGTTTCCCAAGAGAGGACCAAGACTGTACTTTTTTCACAGTCATTTCCCAAATAAGCCGCATAATTATATATTTTGATAGCTTACATAGCAAGGATAGGTTGAGAAAAATTTCTATTTAATAGTTTCTGGTTGGCGCCTTTTCAAATATGGAAAGTGAAAAGCAGCATTTTTGGCATAGTTTACTTTTTTACAATTGAAAAGGTAAAAATGTTGCTCAAGCAACAAAGAAAAAGTATTCAATGTGTATGGAGAAGATTGACAGAACGCCAGTGAAAAATTGGTTTGCAAAATTTCGATCCGGTAATCTTGCTGCTGAAGATGCACCATGATCTGGAAGGTCAGTTAAAACTGATGAAGACACAATCAAGGCGAGAGCATTGATGCGAACTGGTGAGTTCTTGAGATCACTGAAAGATTAAATTTATCGAATTTGATTGTTTCATGATGCGCTTTGGTTAAATCTCAAAGCTCGATATATGGGTTTTCTCCTGTCTTTACTGTAAGATCTCGTTGGCGTCTGAGATTTGTTTCTCAAACGTTAAGAAAATGATCCATTTTGGAAGTGCATTATATCTGGTGACGAGAAAGGGGTTGTCTACAACAATGTTTCGGTCACTACAAAAGTTTTTATACTATAAAACCTTTATTTCAAATGAGGAGGTTAAAAATGACCCGGATTAATTTTTTGTCAGCAAAGAACAAAAAAATTTAAGAGCGTGGAATAATGTTACTTCCAGAACTATAGCAAAAGGAATTGGACCAGAATGAACAATTTTGTATTCTATAAAATATTTATTCACTATAAGAAAAGGGATTTTCATAGGGAAAAAAATTACTTTTCGAACAACGAAATAATTTATTTATTTTGCCTTAAATTGTTTATCTTTATTCATTTTTATTTTAAATATGATAAATTATAAATGAAATTAGTAAGATGTACTTTAAATTTAAAATTTTTTTTAAAACTCATATCATTAAATATAAGTTTCCTCAAAATTCAATATTTGTTTTATTTCATTTTAATTTATATTAAAAACAATGCAACAATTTCAAACTTTAACATAAATGAAAAAAAAACATATTATAATAAATAAAACAATTAATTTAGCAAATTATTTGGGGGACAAAAATAGGTCAATATTGTTATTAGAAAAAGTCCAATTTTCTCTGAAAAATCGAAACTTAGCACACTAGTTAGCGTTTTAGTTATTAACTGTTCCAAAATTTTACACAACCTAACTTTTCTGTTCATTTTAATCAACCTTAGAGTGTGTGAATTAAAATTTAAGAGCAAAATACTGCTTTATAACATTAAAAATTCAGTTCTAAAATCAATTTTACATAGTCTGAATTTTTTTTCTATTTATGTTAATAAATGTTAATCGTATCTCTTAAGAGCTAAATTTTTAAAAAAAATCTTAATGTTATTCTGCGACAAATTCTAATTTGTATTAATTTTTTTCGTATTTATTATATTTAACATTACGTTTTTTAATCATACCTCAAGAGGGAAAAATCTAATAGCAAAAACGGAATAATAACACAAGAATTTTTTTACTAAACTATTTAAAATCTAGTTGTTTTTCGTTTCTATAATCTTCTTTTCATTGTGTTTTATTTTTATATATGAAATTCTTTGTTGTTCACAAGGTTAAATTCTTTAATAAAAAAAATTGAAAAAATAAATAGAACTAATTACTTGAACTATTTACAAGTTTTATCGATTTTAAATGCATAGTTAATAATGTAAACTAATAAACTCTTACACTGCCTTTCTATCAACTTTGACTTTAAATATTTCCTTCTAAAAAATTAATTATCTAAAATATCATGCTCTTTTAAAATAAATCGTTACTTTTTGAAAATGTCTGCTTTTCAAGACATGTAAATCAAAGGGTGGAAAAAATTCTCTACAATAAATTCACAGTAGTTACATAATAAACTTTATTTCTTATAAAAGAATTTCGGTCTTGTTTGACTATTTCATTAAATAAAAAATGATTCTGTATTCAATTATTGTTCTTTTTTTCTTCTTCAAATCTTTGGGTTTGTTTTTTTTCCTTCAATATTTCAATGTCACTCTATCATTTTTAACAACCGATTATTAAAAATTAAAAACTTTTGTCATTAATACATTTTGTTAAAAAATAAAATTTTAAAATTCAGATAAGAGTATCATACCAGAGCTTGATGACAGGCGGGGGCTTCCTAAAGGACAAAAGAAAAAAATAAAATCACAGATCATCACAAAAACTGAATCCCATCTGCGATTGTTAGTAACGCAGAAGCATCATTTTACAAAAACAATAAAATAAAACAAAAGAAATAAGCATAAAAATTCCAAGCTTAAAAATAAAAAGGAAAAAAGACAGTATAAGGGAAAAAATAAACATAAAATAGAAAATAATTATAATTGGCTTGCACTTACTAGATTATTAATAATGGCAATTAATTAGTTGGGGCAGTAAGCAGTGATTTATAAAAAGTTAGGATTATGAGCAATATGTTAGTAATTAGTTGATGCTGCAAGTATTAGCTAAAAAATTTTTTGGATTACACGGAAAATTATATGAATTAGTTTTTGCTTTTAAAATTATATTACTAACGTGTTATTATCCGCTGATTCAGTAACGCTAAAATTTAAAATAGTTGTAGTGAAATCACACTATTTAGAGCTTTACGGCTATAAAACAATTAAACTGGTTTTAATAGTGTTTGCAACCATATTACCAACTAAAGAGTAATTTATTGTAGAAAGTACACACGTATAAAATAAGTAAACGGACATATTGGCAAATAGTTTTTTCAACCAGAAAAATATTCACGCTATGGCTATCTATTAGTGTGGAAAACAACCTAAGCAATTCCGTGGGAATTAATACAGGCCTAAAATTCAACGCAAGTACATTTTCAGTGGCCAATAAGAAGTTCAGTATGAATGCACCCTTTTTAATACTTTGAGCTTTTTTCGAATAAATATCCAAGCGATGTGTATGGAAAACCGCCAGGAGAGATTCTATGAGAATTCATACTGGCATGAAATTCAACGCAAGTGTGTTTTCTATGGCAAATAAAAGATTTAGTCTGAATGTCTNAAAGAGTTTTGAGTTGATAGTATTTAGTGTTATTATTTTCCCAATAATCACGAAGTCAAAATTGTTTGACGGCACGTCTATGACCAAATTAAACAATTTTTTAGAAAAAATGGCACGTTGGTGCATAAAGGTTCGCCACCCCTGCCCTAAGCAATTCCATGAGAATTAATACTGGCCTAAAGTTCAACGCAAGTACATTTTCAGTGGCCAATAAGAAGTTTAGTATGAATGCACCCTTTTTAAGGAGGTTTTTTCAAATAAATATTCACGCGATGAGTATGGAAAACAGCCAGGAGAGATTCCATGAGAATTCATACTGGCATGAAATTCAACGCAAGTGTGTTTTCTATAGCAAATAAAAGATTTAGTCTGAATGTCTACTTTTTGATATTTTGAGAAACTTAAGGTGTCTCCTTTCTATTTTTCTTCTAAGAATGTGATGGTAACGAGTCTCGTTGTAATAATGGAACTATATGCATACTACGTTATTGAATACTTCATGAAATATAGAGGATAGTGTCACCTGAGCCACAACACCAATTCTTTTAAAGGTTACATATTTGTAATGTCAGTAGTATATTAGGCCACTAACATTACAATATAAATCATAAAAATTATTGGTATATGATCAACATATTTAGTCGAAAATCTAGTAGCGGGTTAGTAAGCAACCCACATTAAAGTTTTTCAATATGATAAATATTCTCCGAGTTTTAATTTTTTGTGAGGAGTATAATAATTAGGTGATAATGGTAATACAAGAACGTATACATAAAGTGGCAAGATAATAAAAATTTCAATTACAAATAGCGTCAAAATGCCTTTTATTTGTTAAAAACTATTAAACAACTTTAGAATTTAACATCATTTCGAAAGTATACATCACTGAATTTCAGAATAAAAATTAAAATTTTTTATTGATAAATAGCATCAAAAGATGTACACGAATAACTGATTTTGTTTATACTTAGTCAGAGAATTAAGCTTAAAAATCATAAAATTAGGCTTAAAATCTTAAAATTCATGAATTGGACAAGTTCTTTTTCTTTTATGATAAGTTGATTATTCGCGTTTAAACAAGTTCAATTTCGGTAAGTTTCTTTATACATTTTTAATCGTCTATGTTTATTAATATAATTCTAACTGAACAGCATAATAACATGCTTATAATGAAAACAAATAACTAAAATGCGTTTATACGCCATTAAAACCTCAAGGTTATAAGCTAACGGTTCAAACTGTGAATAAATTAGTTCTACAAATATCAGTACTGTTGAAATATTAATACGGTGAACATATCAGTTGATTGTTCAGGAAACATTAAATTAAGATGTGATATTAAATTGCGAACAGCCAACTACTGGAATGTGGAAGTTCATCCACAGAGCAGCGATCAAATCAGGCATTATTTTGAAAATTAGTCCTATAAGTTGTTGGTATTAAAGGCAATATTACAAAGATAATCTGAAAATTATAAGTTAAAGCAAGAAATAACAATCAAAACAGATAGTTCTTGATACAAAGTAGTCAAGAATTGGTGAAGCAGCATATATAATAAAAGCTTTCAGAAAAATTTTAATATTTCACGAATTTAACTTGCCAAAAAAAAGGGGATATAAAAACGAAATATCATTTAAGACAGGGATGGTAAAAACAGCCGTTGGCATTGAAACATTTAGTCGGGGGAAAAACTTTTTAAATGAAAATTGCAAAAGGGAGGAAGTATTGGTACTTTAATTTAAAACAATCCCCCAAACTAAGCTGGAGGGAGAAAGGAAGAATTATACCTGCCATTCACTAAAATAATTGTGTGATTCAGAGTCAAACAAAATTTTGAATTCAGACGATTTTTTGACAGTCTAATTTCAAACGATATATTTTGGTATAATGTTTTGATTAAGTTCAAGAAAATAAAATTGAATATTAAAAGGGATAACCCAAAAAAGCATTCTCCAACATAGAACATGCATAAGCCATTTCTTTTTTTTTCAAAAATATTTCCACCTTCTGGTGTCGAGGATATTTCTCAAAGTAAGGGATTGAAAAATGTTATGAAATGTGAAAAAAAGAAAGTATCAAAACAACAATGAAAAAGTACCTTAAAGTTCGGTGTGGAAAAGTTATTTTATATATTCTTAGAGAAAAAGAAGGTAGCGATACCACTGAATTTAATAACTTTGGTGTCAAGGTTCATAGCAACGGCACAACTGAGGCATTTTCCTTTGAATTCTTTTTCCTGCATTTGGTGTCTTTTAGACTCAATTTTTTGAAAGGCGAAAATTGAATTCAACTTGATATATATATTTATGAAAATTTGAAAAGCTGAAAATTCATGTATTGAAAAATATAGGGGAAATATAAATTCATATCCAAAGGAACTGAATAGGTATATCGTAGAGTATATAAAGGAAAAAGCTAGAATTTTTATATTATTTTAATTATGTTTTACTTTATTCACAATACTACTTTTTATAGAATATATTTTTGAACACTATAGTAGTTAATGAATCGAACAAGTTCGCGAGCTTTGTTTCCTTCAATACTAAATACTACAAATACTGTAACTTACATTTGCTTACTAAATCATTACATTACAACTCGACTACATTAATGTAGAATTGTAATTATTACTGTTATATGCCTTAAACATTAGAATAAAACAAAGATTTTTATTGCGATACGTATTACTATTTTACTACTTTCGGATTGAAGGTTTTGGAATACAAATCTAATTTTGAGATAAAAGCATTGAGATAAAATTGAGTAATTTTGAGATAAAAGTATCATTTTGCAATCTATGACATATGCTGAAGATTTTTCAATTTGTTTTGGAGGGGGACAGCTGCTGTTGTTTAATCAAATATCCCAAATCAAATTCAGTAAATTGCTAATCAAGATTGAGATTAACAAAATAATAACAGCAGATTAATTAAATTTTATGATAATATTATCATCGGTGTTACATTAGGTAAATAGAAATGAATATTATACTTTCGTCACCTATGCCATTATGTTGAAAAATTGAAAAGCATTAAAATGATCAGTTTCAATTCCCATCTTTAAAATTTATTTTGAGATATTAAATAAAAAAGATAATATCTATTTTTTAAAGTGAATTTTTCGTTGGCTCTTGATATTGCTATTTTAATCATTTAATTCCAAGTCAAGTGAATAGATAATGAGACACATAAGAAGTATTAGCAGATTTTCACTTACCGTGAATTTTAAAATAAAAACTATATACACGCATGTCATCTATACCATACCTTGCAAATTGCAAGTCGAATAATTGAAATACCTAAAAAATTTCCTAATTCACCTGTATAAGTTACTCGAACTAATGAAATAAATGTCACAAAAAAACCTTTGTTAGAAATCTGCTGTCATTATTTTGAAAGGCCTCAAAGTATGTTCTTTCTTTATCAATTGATCGAATTAATAGGTAAAAGAAAGCAATAGTTTGGATTTAAAAGAAAATCTCGATTCAGTTCAATGTCTAAAAAACCCAGATTCAATCGAAATGTCGTTGGAAGTTCAGAGAAAATTTGCCCAGGTAAGTCTACAGCTGTAAATTTCCTGGACACGGTAAAAAAAAATTTTCCCGCAAATTCTGTTTTTTATTTTGAGTTGGCACACAATATCTTCCTTCAGCTAGGTTGTCAAGCGAATTTAGGTTCGGAAGCTTTTATAATGTGACGAGAACCAGTACGTGGTAAGAGAACGAAGTGTCGGACAAGACTCTGAAAATAGGGAAAAAGGCTCTGGGGACAGGGAAAAAAAATACCAGGCAGAGGGAATAAAGCATCCAAAAGAAGACGAAAAAGATAGTAAAAATAAAAGGGAAAACGAAACCAAGATAGTAGTTTCCGGAGAAGAAGCTATATTCAATGTCCAATCGTGACCGAATCTTGTCTGCTGTCACCATGAGGGGGGAGGAGGTTGGCTTCCAGCCCATCCCACCAGCGTCCGAGAGCATTGCAATTTGCTGGACGGAGCATTAGAATGGAACATTTGAGCAAGAAAGTGAGTACCAAAAGAAAACGGAAGACAGCCAGATCAAAAACAAAATAAAAACCTCTAGGAAGATAAAATTTATTAAAGTACGTGTATATG